GTTTTGGGGAGTACAGACTGCTCACAGCTTCGGCCATACATCTGCAGCAAGCCCCAAGTGCCAAGGTGACAGAAGTGGCTGAGAAAGGACCTGCCCTATGGTAAGGACTTGGAGCTTCACCTCTTCTGGTCTCCTGGGGTTGTCCTTCCCTCATCTGCTGCTCTGGTTCCTCCTGGTCTCAGCAGAAACTCTCTGCCATTTCTCACGAGATGAAGCTGTGGGAAGGGGAGATGTGGGAGGTGACATGTTCCTGCCTGGATCAGGAACCTGGGGTTGTGCAATGAGTGTGGGTTTCTCCTTTGGGGACCACCCCGGAGCTCTTCTTGCTTCTCTCACAAATCACACAAACCTTCTTTCGAGCTGTGGTGACGGAGCTGCAGCCTCAGGGCATGGTGGCCCACAACTTTGCTCCAATTAAAACTTACTTATTTAGACTAAACAATTAAAATTCCTCCTCCAAGCCCCCTGACAGAGCCCACAGGCCCCAGGGACCCACGGCCGTGCTGGGGAGAGAAGGAGGTTTCCATCGCGGCTGCTGTGGCCTCAAAATCACCAGGTTTCCACCTAAAATATCCCAGAAGAGCGTGGCTGAGCGTGTGAAATTGCTTCGCGGCCTCGGGAAAGGCTCCTGAAACTCTGCGATTTCCACCCAAAACGGCGGCGCTGGGTCCCGCGGCAAGAGATGTGAGGGGCAGGTCCTGAGGTGAGTTTGAATGCAGCGTCCGATTGGCTGTCTTTCCCGCCACTCGTCTTCCTTGCTCGCTGATTGGGCAGAGAGGTGGGCGGGCTGTGGCAGGACGCTGATTGGGCGGAGCGGTGGGCGGGCTGTCTGAGGTCTCTTCAGCCCTGGGGAATTAGAGCTGGCTTCCACGTGGCAATTTAATGCTTTGCATTCTGTCTGTATTTAGAGCTAGCCACAAGAAAAAGCAAAGCATAGTAATCACGTATCTAATAATAGTAAAATGTGATTATATATATTCTTGGTTTCTGTTTAAGTAGGCTTCTTTTCATGTTTATTTTCCCATTCTCATTCTCACCTGAGAAACCCTTTTCTGGACATGTTTGCAGGGGTTGCTTTGAAAACAGGTGATCAGGAGTCTCCACCTTATTTCATATGAAATCTGACTAGTCCTCAGAGTCGACTGAGAATGTCTTACACGTCTCAGAAATTCACTGGATCTTTTTGCAGCTGCCACCCATTGGTACCTCATAATCATTCTATCGACCAGCTTGCTTCTCCATTTCTTACAACTCCAAATTAGAAGAGAGATTCTTGTCATTAGTCTGTCTTGTCATGA